GGGGGGGGCTTGTTTTGCTTTATCAGTAATCTGTTTCATGTTGTGTTCACTTCCCTATCGCCATGTATTTCATTACTTTCCAGCTTTTCGCCTCTTTGGAAATCACTCCATCATTGACGGGTGGGTGGGGGTGGGGGGGGGGGCTTGTTTTGCTTTATCAGTAATCTGTTTCATGTTGTGTTCACTTCCCTATCGCCGTGTATTTCATTACTTTCCAGCTTTTCGCCTCTTTGGAAATCACTCCATCATTGACAGCTAAATCGTCACAACTTTTTATTTTCTTTTTAAAGTGACACTTTTAGGTTCATAATCCCCACACAAAAATCTAGATGTGTTGCGTCCGTAATGGATGGAGGACCCAGGGCCGGGCCCGACGGTTGCTGAACTTGCTGGCGCCCTGTGCAAGCTTGACTTTGGCGCCCTTAATCATTAAAGGAAAAAACTATTTATTTCGTAATGAGTTTATTACATATGTTATTGTTTATTGTTTGTTTACAAAAAATAACATAGGTAATAAACTCATTACCGAATAAATAGTTTGGTTTTTTTTCCTTTAAGGATTATACTTATAAGGGGCGCCAAAGTTAAGCCTTAGGTAAACTTTCGCCATGTGCGAAGCACCCGTTCGGTGCCCTCTTCCCTGTCCCTGTTTGATATGGCTCCGCTCTTTTTCCGATTATGATGTACTTTTTCTGTTTGGCGCTTGCGATTTTGCGCCCCGAAAAGCTTTTTGTTCCCCATATTCTTTCTGCTGAAATAATTTAAAGAGGCACAAGGAAATACGGTATTAATAAATTAAATTTCCACGCACTCTCAGTTGGTCCCAACCCCAGTGTTAGTATCCAAATTAAGAATGCAGCTTTCATTGTGTGAAAACCCATTGCATGAAAATGCGATTGTACGTAAAGTTATAATACCGTTTCTCGACCCCCGGACCCGAGGTTCACACTTCACTATAATAAACTAAGGGAATTTAAATATTTTCTGGGCGCCCCAGGCACCCCTATGACCAAGGCGCCTTGTGCCTAGGGCCCAGGTCGCACACCTTAAAGGCCGGCCCTGGAGGATCGTGCGAAGGAAAAGCGTAGTCATGGGCGAAGCCTGAACTACATCCCCGAGTGTTAGAAGATGTGTTCCCTGATATCGACGCCCCCTTACCGCTGAGTACCACCTTTACCCGGGCCCTAAGTCCTAACTATTCCAAGATGCCTAGAACATGAGATACTTAAATATTTAAACTTGTCTAAACCCACCACTGGTTTAGAGAGAAATATCGGGCACCTAAACATAATAAAGTATTAAAAAAAACAAAAACAAAAAAAAAAAGCAACACATTTATTCAAATCTTGATACATCCAATTGGGCATCTTTTATAACATATCTTTGAAGGCAGAAGAGTTCTTCTTGATTTACCACAATGGCACCGTGAAAGACAAAAGATTCATGAAAATGTACAAAATGACAGTGTTTTACTTTAAAAAATACTTTTAATGTAGTTCCATCAGGTAAAAGAGAAGTTTTTAATTTATTACACTAGAAATAACTATAAAAAAATCATTATTTAAAAAAGAAATATACAATTAAACAATCACTAAACCAATGACTACACTACACACAAACTACTAGATTAGACTAGTTAGAATATTACACTACACACAGGACACTACACACACACTATTTGTCACTTGACTTACACTTACACGCAAAAATTAGTAAATATTAAAAAAAGATAGTACCGGTATACAAAAAAATTAAGAAAAATCAATTGAACAGTAAATTATCATAGTAAAATACTAAATTAGGCTTAGGTTCCCTAACTAATAATTTAGTTAAATATTATTAGTTAATAAGTTAAACGCCAGGAATTAATGTCAGGTGGTTACTGGTTAGTTTTTAACTATCTATCCTTGATTTTAAAACTCTTTGCCTTAGTCTTTGACTCTTTATTATTATAATTATATTATAACTCTCTCAATCTCAAACTTACTGCGACTAACAACAAAAAATGGACAAAATGTTTCATGACAATCGTAATGACAATGATGATAAATATGAATCAGACATAGGCTGTTTCAGATTTAGCGGCCCACGTTGACTTTGTTAAGGTTAGGCATAGGGATTGATTTAGGGTTCGGGTTAGGCTTAGGGATAGATTTAGGGTTCGGGTTAGGCATAGGGTTAGATTTAGGGTTCGGGTTAGGCATAGTCATAGGGATGGATTTAGGGTTCAGGTTAGGCATAGGGATTGATTTAAGACGTAAAAGTGCGCATATGGAAATAAACGCGGGCCGCGTTCTCTGAATTTACCCAGACATATATTATAATATGTCATATTCATATCATTTAAAATTATACATTTAGTAATAATAGTAATAGTCATATGGCAAATATTAATATTTATCTTAAAATATGATACTGAATTTATTGATTATGACACGAATGGGATAGAATGATCTAATCATGGGTGTCACAGTGTCATGACTAACTAATGACAACTGAATCTGTCAATCTCATTCGCAATCATGACATTCTTCTCAATCAAGGAGTCAATGATCTCAATGTGAATGTCATGTGAGTGAATACTGTATATATAGTATAATAATGTCATGATTGTCAAGAACAGACATACTACTCACTGTAAAATATGATTAAAATAAATGATTCATTTTTTTTAATTATTATTAAGTAATAACTATTACTTTACTTAAAACTGTCACTAATAAGAAGAGTCGTCAACATCCAGTATAAATACTATATCATTAAGTAAGGCTTTGGTCAGATACGTTGGATTTGCCTTATGCTTAATTAAACTAAAACACTTTGGTACAGATCAAATGAAAAAATCTGTAGAAAATAGGCCACAGTCACAGAGATGTATTAAATTTACTTAGGGTTGGCCTATCCTTTTTTTTATTACCGGTATTAATTTTTAATTCTTGTTTAAGAAACTGTAAATGTCCAAATTATATTATGAATCAGTTTTTAAATTTTAAATTATTGAAATAGTTAACTTTGTGTCCACAAAGATTCCAAAAGAAGTTAAAGGTAACTCATAAAATAATGAATATTACTCTTTGGACTTAAAACTTCTGATTAAATTAATTAACCTGAATTTGTGTGATTTTTTTTTTTCACCGTTTCTTAAAAGTAAGACGTACCTAATTTCAGTGTGATCTTTTAAAAAAAAAATATTTTTAAATTCAATTAAACAGACTTGAGATTATTGGTTTTTTTTGGGTTGCTTTTTCGTTGATGTTACCTATTTTGGGCTTAGCAATTATTTTCTCCATCTGTTTTAGATAACTCAAGAATCTATGGCAGCTAGCAGGTCATTACAAAATACTAGGTCAAAGCAACATAAAATAGTCAAAGGAATTTTCCAGCTCCCATATAAGAGTAAGAATGACACAGTTCATGGGAATGACAGTGATTCTAGTGAAGAGGAAGAAGAGTTTGATGACATTTCTCTTTACTTCGGTAACAATAATAACTTTGTGTCCTCAAAGATTCCAAAAGAAGTTAAAGGTAAACCATAAAATATCTTTAAATCCTCATGTTTTTGTTTTTTATAGTCTTATATATAATGAACTTGTCAATATACTTATTATCACAGTAAACTGATGTTCCTGTTCTATCAATAGAATGCTGACTTTGATTTTGGTGAAGTGCTTTTTACAATTTCTTGTTGAACATAGCCCAAAATGTATAAGTTATTTCTGCACGTTTAAATTCAGAATTTAAGCATTTATGTTGGCATGTATCTTTCCATAGTTGTAATCACATCTGAGGATGGGAGAAGTCATAATTGCACTGGAAAATTCCCTCTTACTCAAGTGTTCTGGCAAGTTGAGGCCCTTGTAGATAGCCGAGGGTTTCTAAGGCCGCCTCCGGCATATACAATTATTAAAGATGATGAGATCGTGAGGCAGAAAAACTTGGTGAACATATTCCTGAGTGAATGTTTTTCCATACTGAAGGAAGATGAAGAGAGAGAAAATGCAGTCAAAGCTTGTTTTGAAGCCTTTTGTCAGTAAGTTGTTAGTTTATTATTTTTAAGTTTAAAAAAATAATTGAATTTGAAAATATAACTCAGCATCTATTCCTTGTGGCATTGTTTAGAACGAATGAAAAATGTGCATCTTGGTAAATCTTCATTTATATTTTGTGACTGCTGGATAAAAAATAACATTGGTGGTCATTATGATTCTTGCTTCATAGTCACTCAACCATAATGAAAATAAAATGAATAGTTCTCTATCTAAAAGGATTACACAAAATAACTAAAAATTCTTAAAAATTTCTTCATTACATCCGTTCTGTTGTTTCTTAAAGTTAAAAACCCATGAATTTTAAAAACCAAAATCCCAATAATGAAAAGTTTTAAGACTCTGAATGAACAGATCTTTATTTTCTTTTAAAGAATTACAGGTGAAGACAAAAATTTAAGCTTTGCCAACCTTGAGAATATACTGACTCAGTATTTGAGATTTGAAAAATGCGGATGTTGCCTGGGGAAGATTACAATTACAAATATAAGATTCGGGAATCATCAACAAGAGGATCATTCAGTGTACATAAAGAATCATGTGATGGGTTCAGGTAGGTGGACACCCATTGTGATACAAATAAGAGAGTTGCATTTGATTGTGAAAGTAAACAATTTAAAATGAAGTCCCTATTGCTAAAAGTCACAAAATATCCATTTTGAGAGAATAAACTTAATTCAAACTTGCTATAAAATATGGTAATTTATGTGTGTGTGTTTGTTTCCCCAGAAAAGGAAATTGGGTGAACATTATGTTTTTCCCAATTTATACAGTGTGTTCAGCTCAACCAGATCAATGACAATAACTGATTGGTTCGGTATTGACCTAAATGTGACTTAAATATTTACACCACAAGGAACACAACTGCTGTTTCTTTTAAAGCCATTGACATGCTATTATTAGGTTTACCCGAGAGCTAGACCTTGTGCGGAGATACTGATCTTCCATCGAGCGTCTTCCATCGAGCATCAAAGCCCACAAGCTATGGCGGGTCCTGTTGGGAACTAGATTTAGGAGCGTGAATGCTTTGTATGGAAAGTTGTTGATCGTGAGAGTTTTTTTTTTGTGTGCATGTTGAAGATCGTGGGGCTAGATAGTGAGGTCAGATCGTGGTGTGGAGTTTTGTTGGATGCTGGATGTTTGTTATGAGTGGAGAAGAAAGTACTCTGAGGACAGAGAGTGGTTTATTAGGTTATGTTGAAGTGTCAGTCATCTTGATTTGCTGTTAAGAAGAAGTTATTCATTATGTGCAACGAGAGACCGACCGAAAGTTTAAAATGACTTTTGGACGAAACCGAAAATAGGCAGAAAGTTTAAAAATGACTTTAGGCCGAAAGTCTAAGTCAATTTCGGCCGAAACTGAAAAAAAAACCTAAAAGTTAACTTTTCTCTTTTGGCCAAAACTGAAATTTAGTCAAAAGGCTTAGGTAACTTTCAGTTTCTTCCCAAACTGAAACTTGGTCGAAAGTGATAAAAGGGCCACTTTCGGCGCCGAAACCGAAGCCGAAATTCGGTCGGTCTCTATGTGCAACTAGTTGTTTCTACCCCCGTGTAATATTCAAGGAGAACTATTAAATAAAGTACTATGTTATTTTCACTTCGCATTTGTTACTTATTATAGTGACCAAGTGTGGCCGCTGATGAAAGCAATCGTAAGAGAAAATTCTTTTCCCTAGACAACAAGTAGGGCTTATAAAACAATCTGTTCAGTATCTGCACCTATTGCGGGAGTTGTTAATGTGAAGAAGGAAGATCCTATCAAACAAAGTCGTAATATTATGAAGATCATAAAAGGAACCAGGGAACTAAAATACCTGGGGTGGACCGAAATCAGAACCTACTGCCTTGTACGAAGTTCGCAGGGCTGACAACCCAGCCTTGTAATAAAAATAAGCGTTACGAAGCCAAACAACAAAATGAATTCGGATTGATTCTAATGATCATCATTTAGATCTGAGTGGAAGGATGTGGCAAGGCAGGCCAAACCCTTCATGGACAGTAGCAGCACAGTGATGGATGGATGGGAGCCAGACAGAATGATACAATTTAAATAGCAGTTGATTAATTATTTATTTAACACATAATTTTAATGTTGCTCTGTATTCAGCACTACATCTGTTCAACATTTATGGCCATGACTGTTTTTTCTATAAATGTTGCTCTAACTTCCCAGAATTAGGTTCCACTGTCTTACTGTCAGCCAGCCACCCCAAGCTGGTTAGAACCTGCTCTCAGCTTTTGCCCTACACTTTTATGCCTTTTCTGTTCCGGTTGAGAGATATCAGCGTGACCAATACTGTGAACCCTACTGAACTTATTGAGCTAGCAGACAAAATGGCCAGAGAGAGACCTTGGGAATATGCATTTAAAGATGTTAGTGTCAAATTTTGTGATTTCTGTTTTAACAGCCAGCTGCAATATTTTTTTGAAACACTTTTTAAAATTTAATTAAATGAAATTTCTTACATTTTGTAAGCGTTTTGAATACATGGTGAACTATTAATTTTACGAGCTCAAAATATTTATTTAAAAAAAAAAAAAAAATGGCTAGAAGTTAGAAGTAGAAGCTTACAATGTTAACTATTTTTATTTCCAGATTCTTGCTTCCAAGCTCAAAATTTATGGCACAGAGGCGAAACGTCAGTTCTACGAACAAGCAGGCTATCTTGAAAGAACCCCCCAGACAGAAAAGGATGCCATCTACATCTATGATGTTCTTAAAGAGGATTCTAAAAGAAATGGAAATATGTGCATTGGGTTGAAAATTATCAGAAGAAGTAATTTATTTGGCAGGTTGCACTACAATATCTCCAGCGTAAGCACAGTTTATTTTAAAGCTTCAAGAGCACAGGAAATACATTTTTTTTAAAAATTTATGTTTTTTGAGAGAAAAAATAACTTATGAAGATTACTTTCTGGATAGCTGAGGTGATCTCAACTTTTCAACTTATGAAAATATGCTCTGTCCCCTAAAAATCCTTTGCATCTCATGGTGTGCAAATTTTATCTTGGGAGTGGCTGGCAATAAGGGAGTATGCACTGTAACAATGCAGGTCCAACTGATATAATGGATCATCTATAAACCAAAATGGATTAGAGTGTCATAGGCTAAAAATAATACATTTTATTGTTGAAAACCAGTGGATATTTTTTTTTTTTTTTTTTAAAAGAGTATAAGTTACCTAATTAAATTATATTTTAAAATACAAAAAAATGAGGGTGGTTAAATTTCAGAATAGAAAAATTTTCTAACTGGAAGAGAAAAAAAAACATTTTTTTTTTTTTTTTTTAAAAGAGCATAAGTGACCTAAGTAAATGATATTTTAAGATACAAAAAAATGAGGGTGGTGAGATTTCAGAATAGAAAAATTTGCTAACTGGAAGAGAAAAAAAAACATCAAGCTAGAATGAATGATCGACTATATGAGGAGTCCAATTGCAAACTCTGCTAAGTCCATTTTTTGAAAAAAAAAAGTTAGTGCCCTTGGCCGCTATGAAGTACTATTTCACAATATTTTACTAGTTTTTTAAATCAAAACCCGCTAAGTTCGCTTATTTCGTTTGTTAAAAATATGATAATCTTGCAAAACCTGCTAAGTTGCTTTGCCGTTCACTTTCAAACCCTTCTAAGTTACCAGCCCGATGGCAGTAGTTGTTTTAAACATTATTTGTGAAAAAGAACCAATCACAATTCAGCTTAGAGGCACATGACATTCTTTCGATATCATTGAAGATAGCTGAACACAACACGAGCTTCAGTACAATCAGTGAAAACGGTAACAAGTCCCCAATAAAACTTACAAAAAGAAAAAACTTCAGATTCAAAGGTAAGTCCAATAAAAATAAACTCAGTTCTAAATTTATTGAATGCAAGTTATTGAAAATGACATTTTTATATAGGCATTACAGTGTTGACTGGTCAGACTAATGCACGGTTAGGACAAAGTTAGTAACTAAGACTTAAGTTATACGAGACAGTGACACTCGAGAGTCCTGAGACTAGCCTGTGCTGTAGAATGCTTTTAAAATGTGCTTATTCGGATAACAGCTTCTTTGCCCCAATGAAATAAAATATTTAGTGATTTAGTTACTAATATCTGTAATTGTTGCGGTAAACACCTCCCCCTCCACCCCCCTTTCCAAACTGTAATATTTTTTAAAAAATTAAAAATACTCACAGGTCTATTCCGGGCCACTTGTTCTATGTCAAACTAGTTCTGTTTACTGTACTATATCAGTATATACTATACCTGAGTTTAATTTACATTACTAGGATTTAGATAATTAAAGTTTAAAATGCATTATACAAAGTTGAGTTGGTTTAGATCAAATTTTAATGTTAATTTTACTTGCCCACAGTAGGGACTGCAATAAATATTTTCCTTAGAATCTAGGAATTCATATTTTTGTTACTGATTAATCTGATAAATTGTATCTTTTATTTTTCACAGACATTCACAAAAATCAGTTGTGCGAGCTGATTGTAAACACACAAGAAAGGCTGCCTTTCAATGTGCAGAATTAACACACACGGACATGGCAAATTTCAGTGCTATGTTTTATAGTCACACAACTAAAATTGATCAGGATAATGTTATAGCAAAGTTTATTCAAGTTGGAAAGAAACAGACCAAGCAAAAACCGATAACGGGTAATGAAAAAAGAAGACGAGTGAGAGATATGTTTGAGACAACTTTTTTTTGTTATGAATCAGGAAAACAAGGATACGTGTGTGGAAGGAGTTTTTCCTTAAATTGTTAGGCCTTGGACGCTCTCGCATAGAGAATATTGCTAAAAAAATTCAGCTTCGTGGAGATTTATTAAAAGAAAAACGAGGGGGAGACAAAAAAAGTATCCAGTATGGGCCAAAGAGACAAGCAGTTCACACATTTTTGAAAGGGCTGAAAGGACGAGAAAGCCACTATGGAAGACTAAAGTCAAAGAAAATCTGTCTTCCATCAGAAATTTCATCCATAAAGCAATTGTGGAATATGTATTTCTCCAGCAATGCAGACAAACCCGTCAAATATGAATTTTTTAGAATAATATTTAAAAGAGATTTTCGAATTGGATTTGGCTCACCAAAGACAGATGCATGTTCCTTCTGTGAAAGGAGGGGGAATAAAATAAGAGCAGAGACAGTACCGGCCAAAAAGCAGATGCTTATAACAGAATTGAGAATTCATAAAATCAGAGCAAATGCTTTTATGACTTGCTAAATGAGAAAAGAGAAGGTTTAAAAAGTTTTCTGTTTTGATCACCAGCAAAATCAGGTGCTTTCTAAAGTACCGCATCAGATCGCCTATTGTAGCAGAAAGCTGTACATATACAATTTTACAATTGTTGAAATAAATCTGTCTGGCACACTGAAGCCAGACAATGTCTTCATATCCACATGGAGAGAGAATCAGTTAGCAAAAAACAGTTCATCGTTTGCGAGTGCGCTGTATTTCATGCCCTCCAAAACGCCAGCATGAATGGAATTGATTGTGTCCGTTTTTGAAATCAGTAATTGCAGATTCTGATCAACCTGGACCTTCCTGTATTGATTCAGAAGAAGAAGAGTGTGACCGTCTCTGTGAGGATCCCCCTGCGGATAATGTATAAATATTTTTACCATAAGCAGGAAGGCGTCCCTACCTTCAATGCATTGATATTGTTACTCCAATAGAACCAAATAAAATGTAAACCGCTTGGTTTGTTGCCCAGGCAGTAATAATGCATTGAAGTAGTTTGTTGTGACAATAATAGAGTAATTGTATGTGTTGTGGTCTGTTACTTTGTGTTGTGACATAGTAATTGTATCTGTTGTGGTCTGTTACTTTTGTTGTGATATAGTAATTTTATGTGTTGTGGTCTGTTACTTTGTGTTAAGGTACCAGAATATAAGACTACGGTTCTTCTAAATCATGCAGTACAGTTTAAAGAAAATGTTAAGAGAGCACCCCTCTCTATGTCTATTAATTTTGTTGTGGGCTGTCAAATTTCCTAAGTGATTTAAACCACTTTCCAATACTCCAAGTATTTTAATACTCTTTCAAAAGATGCTAAGTATGTCAACCATTTTCAAAACCTGCTAAGTAATAACTTTATCTTGCATTATAAATGCAAAAATTACCATTTAACTATATATACTAAACAGCTAATCTTGTAACAGGAAAAAAAATCAGAATCCTAGGATTAGCACATCATGGTGTTTTAAAAAAATGCGTTTTTCTCAAAATCATTCTCAAGTGACTTAGCAGGGTTTGCAATTGGACTCCTCATATCATATATGGAGCTGCTGCAGTTGTCACCAGGACAGTGTGTACAAGAATTTGCCAGTCTGGATTAAGGTTGTTAAATGAAAACTGGTTGTCTGTTTTTGGACTGAAAACCATTTGTTGATTTTCACTAACCGGCTACTGAATTTTTTTTTTATCATGATTAAAAAAATCCACACTCTATTGGGGAAACAAATAACTACCACACGCCGCCCTGGAGTTTGGCATGGGAACTACTTACTACATGCTGCCCTGGGGTTTGGTGCTTGAACCAAATTGTGATATCAAAATCTTATGGGCTAGACAGTGACTTTGGGATCTGTAAAATTAAATTTCTACTTCCACTTACATTTTAAAAGATTATAAAATTATGTAAAATATTACCTTGTTGTGCAGACAGTGAAAGGCTTTGTAAAAAGAGAAATCTGGTATTAAACCATTTTTATAAAACCCAAAATTGGTTTGTAAAAAAATCTGTTTTTAACATCTTTAGTCTGGATTTGGTTTTTCCTGCCATAAGAGCTGAAATGATTTTAGACTGACTTCTGCCTTGATACAATTCTATTGATATAAATGTTTGCTGAATGTTTAAAAACAAATTAATTCAACCTAATGATGAATGGTTTGGAAACAATAAATAATATTACCAATAATTCTCAGAAAAATGTACTGTTAAATAAAAAAATAACAAGTTGATTTTGTAAGGATTTTTAAAAAATAACTTTTTGTTCATAAAGGAATTGAAGCAATTTGAAAGTGTAAAAAAAATATTTACTTTAGTAATCATGGATTTTTGTGCAGACAAAAAGATGGTCGGATGCATTGGATTACCTGGAAAGAAATAATGTCATTAAGATTGAAGAGTTCAACTTTGATAGACACATCTTCTTGAGGGAGAACTGGCAAGCAGAGGTGGACACCGCTAAGGGTTTTGACACAATTTTGAAGAAATATAAGAAAGATCCTCTGGTCTGGGACATAGACTTACACAGGTAGCAATTTACAGCTTTAACTGTTCGTGTTGCAACAAATTAAAACATACACATTTCTATAAAGTTCATTTTAATAACTGGCCCTGATATGGTTAAAATTTTAATATTTATGACCTGATTGCCAATCAGTCAGAGTTTGAATTTGACGATTGTAAGGAAATTGATTTTTTTTAATCTGGACCAAAACATTTTGATTTTTTTTTTTTACCTGATAAATCCTAGAAATGGGAGGTTAAATCCTATGCTAATAATTACAATGTATGGCTAATCCTTATCCCAGATAACTGTCAGTACTTAGGATACTGTCATCTCTCATCACTGAACACATTTTAATTTATGGACTATCTATTTCCTACATAATATATTTAGTGAACAGCTTTGCCTATTTTTCAGCCCTGAATTTGCCAGAATTTGCAAAGACCCAGACCAACTGAGAGCCTCTCATCTCATCTGTCATCTTCCAGTCACTGTGCTGTCGGGCAGGGGAGGTTGCGGTAAAACAACGGTGGTCACAAAGTTGCTCCAACATTTATGTGTTAAGTATGTTGGTGAGACGGCATGTGTATCCGATTAGATTAGTCACTCAGATTTCAAATAGCAGCCAAAAAAAACAAAATGGTTGTGGAGGGGAGAGCACTATATCAAATTTCCTGCTAAATTTTTGACATTTATGGTTATGAAAATGTTTGTTGAAACAAAAAGTCATAACCATTGTCATTATATACTTTAACCCTTTCTGCAGCAAAAAATTGTATACCTTGTCCCTAGTGACTGTGTGTACACTTATTATAATGGGAAAAAGTGTTTATGAAGATTCCTGGCAACTGGGTGGGTTACACCCATAGTCTTATATCACAGTGACTAGCTCTCTTTTTTTTATATTTTCTTTTTTTCAATTTGGCATGATTTAGTTGTAGCTTTCCCAGCCAAAGAAATATACTGTAAATTTGATTGATCACCCTTGATTAAAACCAAGCCAGGTGTGGTACTTTGGCAGCTATCTTGTAATATTACAGGTGCTAGCAGACAACAAACGAGTTTTAGTGTAAATTTCTGATTTTTCTCAAGCAACAGGTAAGGCTTTGCTTTCAAATAAGGACACTTGGTAATTCTCTATCAGTTTACCCTGAACAGCAAATATAAATATCTACCCAAGAAGATCCAGCAAAAGAAGGCTCTGCCCCTAAACGAATCAGTGTTTTTTGTTCAGACCAGAAACTACACTTATTAATAGTTAATTATCAGAACAAAAAGCAGAGAAAAATGTATTGCTTCTGAGCGCCATGCACAATGGCCCAGTCATAGGAAGTGCAACTGAATGCAAGAAACCAGAGATTGCGCTCTACTAAAACAAAACCAAAGGAGGTGTAGACGCCATGGACCAAATGGCGAAGGCGTTTTCTGTGAAACGAAAAACTGGAAGGTGTCCATTGGTTGTGTTTTTTAACATTGTTGACTTGGCATCAGTTGCAGGAAGAATGGTATTCAAATATAAATATCCTACCAAATCACTGTCTCATGAAGACAACGACTTGAGATATCAGCAATCACACTCTGTCTCCAGGTGTATTACACCCAGTTGCGGCGGAAAGGGTCCAACACAGGCCATCTTATTATAGAAGCAACGATTTTACATAATAAATCCTAACATACTTTGGTAGAATAAGGAAAGGAAGTGAAAAACTTCTTTATAAAATCTATTTAAAAAATTCATTTGATTTCATTGAATTTAGTAAGGATTAATTTGCCACTGCACTGTGCTTATTTCAAGTTTAAAAAAAAAAGTGTATTAAAATAATGTATACAAATGTTTATATTTCTTTGCTCTCAGAGAAGAAGCAAGACTGAAAGAAGAGAGGGCAAAAGGAGAGCTAAAGGCATTGAACACATTTCTTCCAAACAACACATGTGAATTCAGTGGCACCTCATGTGAAATCAGTGGCACCATAAGTGGAATAGGAGGAGAGGTTTCCAAAAGTGAATATGACTTGGAGCCGCAAAATAAATGTGAGGTTTCTGACTTGAACAAACAAGGCTCCACAATCTCCAAGGCAGAAGAGTTAATACCCAATAGTTCTCTCACTGCTCCTACCAATCAAAAATTTGTTTCTAAGTTGGAGAAGATACGGAAGGAACTGGTATCTGATCTGGTCAAAATTTTGGAGAATTCAAGAAAAGTTGACGATCTGGGGTTGATAGACTTCAAGAGTCAATTTTTATTGACTGCCCCCACTGGTAAATGATAATTTAAGATTAAAATTTGATAAATTTTCATTTTTTCTTTAACCGTTTTCTCCAAAATTATCTCTTAGAAAATGTGCCATGGAGGAGGTAAGACAACTTAAAATAAGACTAGGCCACCCTTAATATCATTTATAGTTTATGATGTTTCCCTTCAACCGTCATCCACCAACATCTAACCATCTAATGAAGACCCACCTCCCACCAATACTCACAACCCACCCCCCACTCTCTTCACTCCTTACTCCCACCCTCTCCTGATCTTTAGCGCTGGCCCCCTCTTTGCCCTCTAAACTGGTCCCCACTTGATAGCAGTTCACTCAGTGTGTGTATACTTTATTAATAGTCAATAGAGTAATATTTTTACATGCCTAGCTTACAAGTGGAGCTCTGTGGCTTAGGATGTCTGATTTTTGCACTGGAAAAATACTTCAGCTGTCTTGTATTTAAATTGTTGTAGTTTAAAAATGTTTGTTTTTGCAAGAATATGTATCCATGTGCAGAAAATGAATATGTTTAATGTCCAAAAGAAAATTCCATTTATTTTGATCAATAAAAGAATCTTATTTTATCTTATCTTAAAAATGCTCCTGGTGATTCTGAATTGTACCATTTGGCGAAAATTATTTTTCTCAAATTTTAGTGTGAAGAAATATAGAAAAAAAAACAACTTAATGGATCTTTTTTTAAAAATCAATTTTGTTAGGGAAAGCAGCCAGGTTGCTTGGTTGTAAAGCAAAACTACCCTCTACTACATTGCACAGTGTGATTATGAGCTGGCGAATGTACTCTAAGAAAAACACAGATCCTGAGTTTTGGAACTATGCTGGAGTGAAGGTTAGTTCTGCTGGAGTTAAGGTTAGTTCTTCTGGAGTTAAGGTTAGTTCTGCTGGAGTTAAGGTTAGTTCTTCTGGAGTTAATGTTAGTTCTTCTGGAGTTAAGGTTAGTTCTTCTGGAGTTAGGTTTTGTTCTGATGGAGTTGAGGTTACTTTTTTGGAGTTAAGGTTACTTCTGCTGAAGTTAAGGTTACTTATGTTGGCATTAAGGCTACTTCTGCTGAAGTCAAGGTTACTTCTGTTGGCATTAAGGCTATTTCTGCTGAAGTTAAGGTTACTTTTGTTGGCATTAAGGCTATTTCTGCTGAAGTTAAGGTTACTTCTGTTGGCACTAAGGCTATTTCTGCTGAAGTTAAGGTTACATCTGTTGGCATTAAGGCTACTTCTGCTGGAGTTAAGGTTACTTCTGTTGGCATTAAGGCTACTTCTGCTGGAGTTAAGGTTACTTCTGTTGGCATTAAGGCTACTTCTGATGGAGTTAAGGTTACTTCTGTTGGCATAAGGGCTATTTCTGCTGGAGTTGAGGTTTGTTCTGCTGAAGTAAAGGTTATTTCTTCTAGAGATAATATTAGTTCTGATGGAGTTAAAGTTAGTACCTCTGGAGTTACGGCCAGTCACACAGGTTGCTGTTGCGTCAATTGGATAATCTTACTTTTGTGACTTATTTTAGTTGGAGCCAAATTAAAATAATTTCATTTCAAATTTTACATTTTTTTAATTTAATTCTTTATACTCGTACCCTAATGTTAGCTGCTTGTTATTCTTTGAAGTTTTACTTCAAATACAACATACCTTTTGAATCTGAGAGAAAAATATAAAACTGATCCAATTGGCTTCTCAGGTCTTGGTTGTTGATGAGTGCAGTCTTGTGTCTGTCCGCCTGTTTGCCACGGTGTTGAAAATCCTCTTGGAAAAAGCAAACTTACAGAAGATAATTCTGCTGGGAGATGTCCGACAGTTGCCATCTATAGAACCTGGCGAGTTTCTCAAGGTCAGAAAAAACACTGTTTATAAGTATACAGTACAGAATTGTATTCTGAAATCAGCTCAATACATTTTTTAATGAATCGAAAGCAGAATTTTGTAGAGATGTGGTGTAAAATTAACCAATACTATGAAGATTAAAAAAAAATACATTGCTTGTTTTGCATTAAAACAAGATTTTAAAGGCTGTTTTTGAAATAACTGATTGCAGCTTGGGAAATTCTTGTCTTCTTGTTTAAAAGGATGTTTTTAAAACTCTACATTCTTGTGGACATGGTGAATTTGGCCTGAGTGTTGAACTCAGACAAAACCACCGCTCCGAGTCTGCCTTGATCGTAAAGAATGCTGGAAAGGTATCCAATCAAGTGATGCCGACCTTTGACCCAGCACAAAGATTCCATTTAATAGAAATCTCAGACAGGGGAGATGATGGTGGTTAGTAATAAAATATTTTTGTAAACAAAATAAAATTTTTAGTGGAATATTGGTGATGACAAATTAATCATTGGAATATTGGTAATGATAAAAATAACCATAGGTATATATTGGTAATGACAAAATTACTCTTCCATTACAATTAATTTTTTTTTTAGGAATTTGAGCAAAAACAATGAAATGAAAAGTAACTAAAAAAATATTATTTTTTTTAATTAGAAAACTTAAATTTTGTTGCAAAATATTTTCTTTCTCCCAATAAATTATTACTATATTGAAAGAAAACTATCTCCCAAGTTCCATAACCTTGAAATACCATGATGATTTCTCATCTCCTCAGAGCGGGATCAAAAAATTCGAGGACTGCTGAGAAATGCACAAGATGTCACATCAGATGTGGAGTCTCAGTTTGTGTCTTTTAGAAAGTGAGCTCAATTCCCCCCCCCCCCCCCCCCCCCCCCCTATAATATCTAACCACAAACCACAAAATATTATTTGCCAGGTTCCATGGTCCACAAGGGGAAACAATTGTGAAGGGGTTACCCTTTTCATCTTGGGTCATAGGCAGTTAGATTTCTAGGTAAATCCTGTCAGGTTTGATTTCCTTTCAAACTAATGTTTTTTTAAAATCTCCACTAAATTTTGTCCCCTTCGTTCCTTAAATTTAAAAAATCTGTCCAACCATAAATTGCTTTAAATCCAATGCCATTGTCTCCTATAGCACAGTGAGGTGTTAGTGAACCACCAGCTTAGATGAATGCTAAGTGTTAAAATATTTTTAGTACAAAATTATTTTTGTTTCAGTGCACATTGCAAAGCTGTCAATGAGCTGTGCTGCATGCATTACAATGGACACTCCATCACAACCTCTCAGACAGGGCGGAGAAAAGTGCGCTTGGACTTTCAGATAGGAGACAAAATCTGCCTTGGGAAAAACAACCTTGTGACAAATAGCCGCAGTCATATCATAGATAAGTATCTGAAGGAAGATCCAGAATTTCAGAAAGCTTTTAAAGAGGCACAACAGAAACTGGCAAGACAGGACAAACGTTCTGTCTGCACAGCCTCACATAGTTTGTCGGGACTGAAGCTAAATAAAACTGTCCTGGATGACACAAGGGCTCTGAATTTGATTCTTGGCGATGACGAGACCTTCAATACAACGATAGACAAGATGAGAGAAGATGACCTGAGGGTTGAGGAAAACCGAGCAGAACTAGAGAAAATAGAGCGTCGCAAGCGGGCTGAGATGAAAAAAGCTGAGTGGACGGCACAAAGGGTTTGTAACTTTTCTTTCTTTTTTATCTATAATCAAAACTGTATTTTAACTTGGCAAGACAAGACAAACGTTCTGTCTGCACAGCCTCAATTATTGTACTAAAATTAGCTCCACCATGTTCAGAATTTGTTCTTGAATGTTAATCATTTCAGTTTCCAACTTGGTATTGATTTTAAATTAATTTATTTCTTTAGTTGACAACAAACTGAATTTTTGGCTGATTTTTTTTTTTTCCAAAGCCACTATCTCTTACTTTAATAAATGAAAGACTGCGATCAAGCTGAGTGAAGGAATCTGAATTTTTTTACTAATCAGATTATGAATGTTATATAAAGTTTCAATTTGCAATTTATTTAGCGCATAGTTTTTTTATTCATAATAATGTTATTTGAATAATAATAATAGTACCAGTTGCTTTTCAACTTTGTTGTGCCTAGTCAGTTGAATCCATCTGAATCTTTTGATTTTGACAGGTTGCTGATGAATCGTTAATTGGAGAGGACAGTGAAAAATTGTGCAACGGTGAGGTTTTCTTCATCATGGATGTAAGTTTTTGTTTTTTTCCCTCTGCTTAGATTGTTGAGGCCTTTAGAAACTTATATAGAATCATAAATAATGTTTGAAGTTGGACCGACAGATCTTATATATCACATCAAACAACGCTTCTAAAACCTATGATTCTAGACTAATTGTGTACATCTATTGTCATGAGGGCTTAAAAGATTGCATCGTTTACACAGAGTCTTCATAATAAAATGATTCTTTCATGCTACAGGACCCATAAAATGATTGCTCACCACTAGTTTCCAGACTATGACCCTAGAAAAAAACTGAATTGTGAATCTGACAGGTTAGCTAGCACCTCGTTGAATGGACCAGATAAACAAAGTCTGATCCTTCCAAATCATTTATTTATAATTCTTGTTTCATTTCTGTCCACTGCCATTTTTCTACTTTGCTGTAGTGCCTCGTATTTTTCATTTTTACAATAAGAATTCTCCAAGTGGGGTTCAGGGGTGTGAGTATAGAATTAAATGAAATTTTAAATTATGCGTATATTTTTACTATAAATCAAATTAATGGCCAGTGCAAATAGCTGTAATGTATGTTATATTTATTTTATATCTCAACATATTTCTATCTAATATTAAATAATGAGAGATTATCGCACCATGTTTGAGAGCAGCTGTTTGAATTTTTTTTGGTGAACTATTAAGTTTGTTTAGTCTTACTTTTTATCTGTTGTTAAACTTTCATCTTCAAACTTTGATTATGCATTCAGAACACTTCAAAATTTCCAAAGTATTTTCAATAAAAGGCATTAATGAATTTTTATGAACCAGCTTAGAATTTAATTTGCTCAAAATTCCCAACAGGAATTCAATGAAGTAGACAAGAATGGAAAACATATTAAATATTTTGTTCTGTCTGATCGTGATCCTGAACTTCCAAGAGTCGTCTGCGTTCCTTTCAAACAGCTGAAAGGAAACTGTAAAATGAAGCATTCATGGGCACGTACCATACACACCTATCAGGTAACATCCAGAACTTGTATTTTTTTAATCACACTTTTAAATCACATCGACCAGATATCATTTGTTATACCAGTTCCAAAGTTTAGAGCAGAAGTCGGCAACCTACGGCAGAAATGGCACCCAGAGCTGTTTTCAAAAGCACATGGAATATCAACAAATAATTTAAAATGACTAAAAAATATGGTAGGCTTTTAGATTGTTGGCACACTCTGAATGAATTAGAAATCCTACTTTGGCACAATATTAAAGAAAGTTTGTGGACCTCTGGTATAGAATTCTTATTTCAAATTTAAAGTCTGTATGTTTTAAATCAAGAGAAAAATAATTTGATCTGGCTTGAATATCAATGTGCCGTTAAATGGCTATCTACAAAGTGGCCATTTTATATGATAATTATTTCTCGAGGGCTGCCATTTGAAAGCAAGCTGTTACTTAATGTGTACTGTTTTGTCATCAGGGTTCAGAGTCTGGCACTGTTGTGTATGTACTAGGTCAGGCTATGCCACAGAACTGGCAACACGTTTACACAGCGATAACACGTGGCAAAAACTCAGTGTACATCGTTGGAAGTCACGCTCAACTGCTGACCGCCATTAATCGACGAGAGCAGATACGGCTTTCACGACTACGCCACCGTCTCAAGGAAGCGTTGTTACAAAACATGGAGTGCATAGAGGTTGGTTTTTTTTCTTCTGATTTTACCTTTTTTTATAATGGTTTTTTAATGGTTTATAATCATCAGTATACTGTTCTGTGGACATGATTTTTCTATTTTACACAATTGAGGTATATCAACTTACAGTGGTTTTTATAACTTTACATGAAATTAACCAGTTTACTTGTCACTAACTACCATATTCCATTTGTAAATGTTTAGCAGACTGATGGCTAAATCAATAAATCAAATGGTAATTGTGGTGGGGGAGTTCTGTTGTAGTGGTCTTTTGCATTTCTCCTGATTTAAGTGAGCTATATAAGTATTCAATCAATCAATCAATCAATCAATTTTGGCCATAATAATCAAATAAAATAATAATTTGGTGATGCTTTGAAGACCAGTTTATAGAGTTCTTTGTTGCATTTTAAAGAAAAATTAAATAATGATATCACCAGAAAATTTAACTATTTTTTTCCCCCACTAAAAAAAAAATATTTTTTATTACTGGACCAGTATTGCTTTTTATAGCAAAATGACAAAGTGCTAAAAATAATTTATTTTTTTTTTAATTTACTTTCTTACTAGATGTGTAGACAAAAATTTGTAACTAGTTATCAACCAGAGTCAACAAGTGACTTCAGCTTTGACTCGGAACAATGGAGTGAAAGTATGTTGTTACAGCTTGAGGAAAAAGGTCAGGTTTGGCCACCGCATATTTTTTTTTTTAGTTTACTAATTAAAAATATTGTCATTAAGAAATGTAGGGTTAGCACCTAGATCATCTTATCACACACTGAATGGGGTGGTTCTAATTGGATTATCACCTAGATCTTCACATTACACAGGATTAGAAACTAGATAAAGATGTTTTTCTCATAACATGAACATTCTGTAGAGCTAATTGGGTTGGGGACACTGAACACAATATAATGATTTGCTGCAAAACAATTAACGTACACACATTTTGTAAGATCAGAAGCAGATAGCAATCATCATTAAGACTAAATGAATAGAATTATTTGACCCATGCCCTTAGTGAAAATGTGTTAACATTGTGACATTATCTACAGTTGAAATTGAAGCAGATGTTAACAGACTTAAGGATGAAAAGGAAGCCACTGCTGACACCAATCTTGAGATGATACATTGTGATGCCAAAGATTCGCTCTTCTGCAAAAGCCCCACTACCCAAAGTGACGATCCAAACACAAAAATGTCAGCAGATGTTAATGCTGGCATAAGCTCTGACACTGACACCACTCTGGATCATGAATTTCATGATGATGAATCAGAGCTTGAGTTAATGATGGCTAATGATAAGGCTCAAATGGTAAATGAAGTTGCTTTGAATGGTTCTCCTTACAAAACTGAGTTGTCACAATGTGGTCTGCAGGATCCTAATAAAAGAATTGGAAAACTTTCAACTGATGTGCAGCTGTCTAGTTCAGCTAATCAAATGATTTCAAATGATCCTGAACATGAAAGCAGTGACTCAGAGAATGAATACAGAATTTTTGAATCGGTCTCTAGGTCTAAAGCAAGACAAATCAGAGAAAAATTATGTTCACCCTGCAGCTTATCTGGGCCATCAAGACCAAGCTCAGCACCAAAAAGATTGTCTCTAAAAAGCTCCACAGACTTCAGTCTCTCACCAAAACATGAAGTATCTAGGCCATATTTAAATGTCACTCCACCACGCAGTTCCCCAGTTTCTACAGAAAAAACCGCTTGTTTGACATCACCTCCCAAGAGGGCCTGTGTGGACACACCATTTCGTGACTCTTTCACCAGTTCAATGAGTCTACATGATGATCATGATGATGAAGTAGAGGATGGTGATGAGTCTCCACGGCCAAGAAAGACTCCAAATGTTTGCAGGAAGCTGTAATGTCAGACTTGTTTTTAATATACTTATGTTTCCTTTTTTTTTTTAATTCAAAGACTGGTAAAATGTGGGGGAACTCTATACTGAGACAATTTTTTTTAAAATTACGAGATATGTTTAGATGAAGCAATATATTGCAGACAATAATGTGTGAATGAGGAAATAAAACCAATTATTGAAAAACTAGTTTGACTGAATGACAATACTTAAAATAATGTTCTGCTCACATGAAATGTATGGATCACATGAAATGTATGGATCTGTGCAATAGTTTGACACAAGATGATAGTCACAGGCTGGCTGCTCTGATTGTGGGGTTCATATACAAGCTTTTAGCAAACCAGCTTTCCTCGGGGAAGAAAGGGGTTTGTGTACATATGAAAGCTCTATTCAGGCATTTTTGTTCAAATGCCATGAGGTGGCCATATTCAATGTACCAGTAAATAGTTTTAAATTTAGATTATCACTGCCACACCTCTTAGATGACTAAATTTGTGTTTTAAAAATATGTGAAGTACCCCCTTTGGTCTTGTTTCTTAAGTGAGGAAATGGTACAACTTTGATTTGTATTATTGACTGTTCCTTTCTTTGACCAGACCTATAATTGTATGACATTTTACAGTCATTTAAAAAGTAAAAAACTAGTTCACAAACAGGACCCTTTTTTTTTTAATGATCTGTCCGTTTGCTATAAAAAAAAAAAGTATGTAAATTATTTGGTTAGTTAAAGAATAATGAACTAGAGCAGCTGATATCAAATCAATGTTCTTTAAAACATAAAATTTACAAGCCACCAAAATCCAGATAATTTTGGTTTTTATGTGAATACATTATGCCCTTTACAGCGTAGTTTTAGTTGTAAGTGCAGTAAAAGGTACTGGTTTTTTTCTCTTCTTCATAACTATTTACCTGTTTTTATTAAGCAAGCTATCTTTTCATAAAAAATCACATTTCAGTACAGCTTCACAAACTTGATATAGTTAGAATCACAAAAGTTTATTCAATAAAAGTGGACATGACTGATACATGAACTGACGAATCTCTTGTAGTATTTTATACATAAAATAAACCACAATAATAATATTAAAACAAACAGCACAACAGCTCTGTAACACCCCATCATAGTATAAAAAAAAAAAAATGGAAACAAATACAACATGTATACTAGAACAGCTCAAAATATATGGAAATGAAAAGCCAGGGCCTGCAGACTCTGTATTACAAATAACGGTATTTGTACACTAAGTAATTTTGTAAGAAAGTTTTTACAACAATATTTTCAAGTCTGCAGGCAATGGGTTGCCAGTTATTTAGCCAGTACATTTTTTTTGCCTACATGCTGTTGCAGATATTTTAATTATAAAATATTTAAAAAAAAAAAAAAAATTAAGTTTAAGGATAAAACAAGCACAATCAAGTGCCAATCAATAAGTCCCTTTTTTTATCAAGTATTTAAAAACCTTACTCAACTCTTACTATTCACATGTATCCAATCATTCTTGTCTCAAAAGAAATTTAAAAAATAATGTTGTGCTGCCAACAACTCTTTGACAGCTAACTCAGTGCCAGTTAAACAAAAATATTTACACTATTCAAGGTACAAATTAAGTAATCTCCCCCCCCCCCCCCCCCCCCCAAATAAATAAACCCCCCCCCCCCCCCTCCCTTCTAAAACACTGCACAAATACAAGTAAAACCTAACATAAACAATTTGGCTTTACAGAACACTATTATGAGTGAATGCAGAGGAATAAATCAACAACCAAAATTTTAATCCTTTATACATCTTTACTTAGGTGATGAAGTGCAACCCTTCCTCACTTTGTCTAACATTCCCAACTTCCCCCAGTAAGAAATCTGTCAGAGGTTAAGACGAGAAGGGGTTGCAGTTCAAGACAGTCACATTGAATTTAAAAAATAAAATATGGAAAACAAAACATTTGCATTATGCCTTCTTACAATATTCTTTTTACAAATCATGGTTAAGTTAAATAAATCAAGTCATTTAAAAGATCTCCACTTTAAATATGGCATTATTAGGAAAATGCTTAGGATAATGGACAGGGTGAAAGAACACGATGATATGATGGGTTGTTTTTGTTTTTTTTACATGGCAGTTAGCATCTCTTGGTAAGAGAATTCTTACCTGTGTTCACCCATTACAAGGGTTTATAGTGTTATCTGATATTTGATTTATACTTTACACATATAGTACACAAATATCTAAATCATTTCTTTTTACACTGAGAAGCATATCATTTAATCATTTGAAATGGGTTAACTTCAAAGCGAATGACAAAAGATAAAATATTGTTGAAAATTGATATTTAAAGAAACATTGTAATACAAATCATGTTGGAGGATGAAGAATTCCCTATAGGATGAAATCAATACAACAAAAGTACATCTTAGAAAAGGGAAAACATATTTTAAATGACACCAAATTGACCTAGTAGAGTAATGGATGGGCTTCCTTACTGAGGTACCTTAGTAAAAATCAAATCAGCCAACCCACAGCTTGGCAGAAACTTGACACACCACAGGGTTACAAAAACTTGTGTGATCCTCTTAAAATTATTCTTTCCCCAATTTGAACGTTTAAACCTTACCTCACTTTCATTCATTTCTTCCATTACACATTATACAAATTGTTAATATCAGGTCTTTCCATACATACTCCAAACTTACATCTATTTTATTGTTTCATGTGAGACAATGGATAATTTACTCAAAGATCATGTAAATGGCGGTGGGTATTTCAAGCTTAATTAAACATCAAAACTGACCTAAAAATTAGACACTGAGTTGCATCTTAATTGAATGACAAACATCAGTTTAAAAAAAGCATTGATCTATGGAATTAGTTTTGGAAGCAATAATGTACTGCCTCAAGATCATTTTTATTCAAAACTTGGCAAGCATTTTAAATGATGACATGAGCTACACTAGTTCTATTAAAGGCAGGATTTTCTTTCTTGAAAAAATTGAATGGAAAAAAATAGAAGAAAAACATTGATTAAAAAGTTTAACCATCTTCCATTTGATCAGTGAATCACACTGTTATGGATTTTTTAGATTAAGTGACATAAAAAACACATAGAATATTTAGTTAACAAAGTTTTGTTATAGACCAGGCTCCTAGGCTAATCAATTTAAAATTTAACAAGTGCAATTTGAGCAAATCAAAGCAACCAGTTTAAATAATTAAAAGTTGTTTGCTGTGCGATGTCACAAAGCAACTTAAATTATTGAAGTGGAATAATGCTTAAAAAAAATTAACCAACAATCTTCAAATTACACTAATCAGGGATTCAAGCTTCAACATACCTTGTTTTACTATTTCAATCAGGGATATAGATACCTAAGGTAATTTTAACAATTTTGTCTCCAAATAATAATAATAATTGTATAATTTACACTATCAGCATTCACTTACTGTCCCAAACCAAAGACTTCATTCCACACATAAATAGTTTATCACCTATAAACAATTTGTCCATATTTATTTGAAATCCAATCGACACCTGAATAAAACTCAAGTTGACATAGCTTCAGATATGAACAAGATGTTCACCTTAATATGTTCATTGTATGAGATTGTCAGCGGTGTGGATATACAGAAGTATACTCCCAGACACACTGAATAATAACCATTTACACAGCACTCATCAGTTTGCAAGTTTGGTAGTTGCTCATAAAGGAAGACTTCCAAGTCATCTGAGCTGAGAAGGAGAAAGTATTTTGTACTTTAGCAAGGATGCTGGAAAGTTCTCTAAATGACTCATGCCAAACTATTTCTCCCCATCGCATGAATAGACTTGTCTCCCATTGCCGACGTGTCAAAATGAGACAAAACTACGTACATATTTTGGCTGCTGCTTTCATTCAACACACTGATGATGTCATGAGAACTGCGAACATTCAAAGAGGACTTCTGATAATGTGTTTGATACACTTTGGTCAAGAATTTGGGACATGACAAGGTTTAGCAGTCTATTCTGTTGCTGGACAAACATTTTGCGGTTATCTGGAACACGGGCCATGTGGAGCAAGATAGATGCTGCTCGACGAAGCATGTCCAAGGATGTACCCATAACTTCAGGGTTGCTTTGTAGCACTTCCAGACCCTGCTGGTTGGCAATGGCGAGTGCATTTTGTTCGGCAGTCTCCAGAAAGTCAACAAGTAAAGAGACACAAGGGTGCTGCAGTGCGACTGCACGAGCTGCACTGGATTCTCCTGGGACTAGCAAAGAGAGGAGAACAATGGAGAACTCTCTGGTAATTTGGTGATTGCGATCTGCAAGTAATCTAACTAACACATTGAAGAGCTCCAACAGACGTTTGACTGGTGGTGTGGCCAAAAGTAAGTCAACATTAGTCTCGTGTATACACAATTTACAAAGTGCTTCAAGCACAAGTCTCTGAGGTGAAAGCACAGATCCGGGTGTCAGAGTTGGCAGTGGATCTCTAGCAACAGATGCTGGGCATATGACCCAGTGAAGAAGACCCTCAAGGAGAGGAAAGCAAACCTCTTCTGAAAAATTACCCAACATCAGGTGGCCACAAATATTGGCTAAAATGACAAGTGTGTTCTCTCGCAACTGATCTAAATAGTCCCACCACCAGTGTTCATCATCGTACACCCGAGGTGGTTCTTCCCTTTCCTCTTCTTCATCCTCACCACTGGGCAGTTTTCTTGGTGGGGGTCTCTGTGGGTGACTGTGATGCAACAGCAACAAGCGGCCCAGTACTCTCATGATGCCAGGATGTTTGCAGATACGAGCTTCATTGCCAGGTACACAAGAAAGAGAACGAATGATGTTAGATATACACACACAGCGTCTGCCCAACTCATCTCGGCTTTCTGGTGTCACACATAATGGAGGATCATCTCTTTGGAATGCCTCATCCTCTATATGTTCATCCTCTTTCAGCATTTCAGCAACAATACTGGCTGATAACTCCTCCGTTTCAGAGACATAGCTCTCACTGTGAACATGTGTGAGGTCTGCTGCAATAACTTTGTGTTCATTATCAATTCTTTCATTCTTGACATTTGATTCATTAATTTTCTTGTCCCCGCACTTCTCCTCCTGCTGTTCAACAACCTCACTTGTGTCCATGACTGCGCTAGTATCAACTTCCATGCTGACCCCAGAAAAACTAGTGTTCATGGTGCTGTTCATGGGCTCCATGTTGCCCTCTACAGCCAGGTCTTCCTCTCCATCTAAACGTTCTGCTGTTAGCACAGGCGGGGAGCTATTGCTGTTGTCATTTTCTTTATCTTCAGATTTTTCAGGATTAGAGGACCCTGGATTTTTAAGATCATCTGAATTGTGTGGTGAGCTTGTGTTTTTTGGTACATCTTCTGCCAATTCTTTATGTTCACCAGATGTGATCACTTCTTCAGCATTTTTGCCACCTTTGTCTGTATCAGATTTTGATTCTTCCTCATTACAGTCCAAGGGCTCAGTTTTTTCAACAGGCTCAATTTTTATTTCCACTTTGTCGGCTTCGGCAGCCTTATTTCCAACACAATTGCTTTCACCATTGCACAAACTGGAATGATTATTTCCCGAGATCAAAGTGTCCTCTGCTGTTTTATGCTGCTCTTTAGTATCACACACAGTAACACTGACTTCTATTGAGTTAAATTCATCTTTAAAATTTTTAATCTTCTTCTGATCTGAATAATTTATATCATTGTCTCTATCCTCCTCACTAGAACTTCTTGTCCTTTTTCTTCTAAACTTCCCTGAAAGAAATTTATTCGACTTCTCACTCTCTAGATGTGTCAGGATATGGTCAGTGATGTCTCCACAGCCTGTTGACCAGTGATCTGCTTTGGTGGTGAACTGTGAATAAATATCCCAGTCTTTGGTCTCCAGCACTGTGCTGTCTACAGGATCAGCATCAATTTTCACAGGCAGGCCTTTGCGTGAAACCATTGTATAATTGGGGCCAGACAGACGAAATACTTTCAAATCATCCAGGCCATTATCATCTTCAGCCTTTGGCTTATCCTCCTCAGGTTCAAGTTTTACAGGAGACAATTTGGACCGCTGCCTTCCTTGGTGAAGTCGATGCTTCCTAGACTGTCCCTCCTCCAGGTCTTCAAACTCCTCAAACATTTGCATGAGACAATGCCTTAAGTGTTCAGTAAGTACCTCCAGAAGACCTGGCAGTGTACTCATGCTAAAGTAGCCATATGTGGTATCATCATAGAGAAGAATGTTGAGGGTGTCTAGTGCCCATGTGCTCTCTGCAAGGAGTCCAGATTTTAGCGCCAGCATCAGTCGCCATGCCTCAAAGGGGGCTGGAATAGATAGGTTTTGTATTTTAATAAGTTATAAAAGTACAGTTGTCCATAATTATGACAGAGAAATAAAAATCCAAGGGATGGCACACTAAAATTTCCAAAACATTGTTGGTCAACAATCATCAAGCTTCATCACTTTTAATTGGAATATTCTTTCTTATTAGTTCTTATACGCAGCTCTGATAATACCAGTTCATTAAAATATTTTCTTTGAAATAGCAATGAAGCAAATGTGAAAACTATTTCTACATAACACTAAAATTAGATTTGAACAGATATTTTAAGATTTAAAAATTACAACTGACATTTACCTAATATAGAGATAAAAAATTATACAAGATCAAGGATTACTATGTACCTCTGCAAGTAACAAGTTTAACATTATATATGTACCTATATCTTTGTGAGTGAGCTTCTTCCTTTTAGTTGTTGAGATATTAATTCCCTCAACGCAATCACTTGGAAAAATTAGTTCTTTCTTGATTACGGGTCCAGAAGTCATTCCAGCATATGCCGGCTGGTAAAAGAAAAAACAGAAAACATGTTTCAAATGTCACTCTTTTAATCCTATTTTTTATGTACAGTAAATCTTTCATTCATTCAGTCCTCATGTGCCAACTAGTGTTTGAGACAATAGATAAGGAACACCACTTCCCTGGGTCAGGTTTCTACTCCACAGATATTTCTGTATTTCTAATTTAATTGTTTACTGTTTAAAAAGTCATATGTGCTTAAATAATTTGAAGGCATTTTTTTTAAAAATTGGATACTCTTACTGGCATTTTCTGGGGTCCCCCAAAACGTGGTCCATCACGACTTTGCGGGGAATTTCTATGTCCCATTTGACGACCATAGGGTCCCATAGGTGGAGTAGAAGGTGGAGCCGGTGGCAGATAGCCTGGACCTGTCTGTGGCATACGTGACCTTTGTATTGGTGACCATTGACCATCACGCATTCGATCTATTAATTTTTTTTACAAAAATAAAATATTACTTGAATTATATTTAATTCATCAATTTTTAACAAAAGCATAAAAAAGTATATGTAGAAATGCAAAATGAGACGTAAACATTTGAAATATTCTTTGAAGATATTCCTCATGGTTAAGAAAAGTTTATTCTCCAAGAAATCAAGTTTGTTTTTTTCCACTAAAGAGCACCATCAGCTGAAAAAGGATGGTTAATGTTTACCCATCCTTTTGTTTCTATGTTTAATAACATTGTATGCCCTTTTAAACACTTAACAGCACCAGGGCTTTTCACCCAATGAGTTTCCATTCAGTACCAATGGCAATTTTGTAGCAGGCACAATAATCTTAAATGTGGCTTGATTTTTTAAAATAAGAACGCAATCAAGAAAGATTTTAAAATAAGCATATATTTATTAATGGAGATATAATCATTGATATTCAGTGGTACCTCGGTATATGTCCGCTTTGGAATAAGTCTAACTTGGTATACGTCCTGTTTGGACGAGAAACATTTAGCTTGGTATAAGACCTTCATTTGGAATACGACCCGCATGTGTGCTAGAACTTGTAGGTGTCAAAATGACACATCACACAAAGACTAGGATGGATGCACTCTCTTCAGGCTCTGAGGAGGAGGAGATAAAGGAAGCTCCTACTTCATTAATCAAGGAAATCTTTGCTAAATGGATGGATGTAAAAACTTTGCAGAGAAGTACCACCCCAACAAAGCCCTAACAAGTCGTAATAGCATTGTCTAGAATGACCAGACAATGTCACATTTTCGAAACATCCTAAGGAGAAGGCAAAAACAAAGCTCTTTAGACAGATTTTTAATAAAAGTCAAACCTGGTGAGCCTCAGCCAGGGTCAACTAGGGAAAAGAGACAGAAAAAAGAAAAAACAACAGAATGTCATATTCCTGAAGTTTTATTGAAAGCGGACTCTCCTTCAAAACAATAACATCTCCTCCTCCTCAGCACCACATTAGTAAGCATTTGACTCTACTCACAAAAGGTAAAGTGAGGTTAAATTTTCATTTATTTCACTTAAGTTCTTTTTATTTCTGCATTTTAGTATTAAGCAGTGTTTTATTTATACAACCACAACAATAAATGTATATTATGCCAATAACAATATGATTTTTTTTCATGGGAACCGATTATTCATTTTCCCTTTATTACTTATAGGAAAAATATGTTGGGTATAAGTCCTGTTTGGTTTAAGTCCAAGGATCTGGAACGGATTAAGCACGTATACCAAGGTACCACTGTAGTTTAAATCTATTGCTATGTAAAAATAGTTCAAATGGATGTTGGTTTTAATTTTTTTATTAATAGGGAAAGTATCATTAATGCCTAAAAGCACCATTGGTACTGTGTCAAAGATAGGATTTAAAAAAAAAAAAAAAAAAAATGGGTAAAAAAAAAAAAATAAAAAAAAAAAAAAAAAAAAAAAAAAAAAAAAAAAAAAAAAAAAAAATAATGCCTAAAAGCACCATTGGTACTGTGTCAAAGATAGGATTTAAAAAAAAAAAAAAAAAAAGTGAGATGAAACAAGATAAGTAAACAGATTCATATGGCAGCTATACAGCAAAAATGTCATACCATCTGGTGAAGGCGCTTGCCTCTCCGAGGGGCCTGATGCATAGGGCATGTGATTAACCATATTTTGGTTAGACCAATCAGAGTATTGATTTGGAGCTGTTAAGAGAAGAACCAACACTATGAAGGAAAGCTTAGAAAGTGTGGTGAAGGTAAAGAGGAAGGGGGTTATAGAAATATATAGAAGAACATACATGGTCTAAATGGCAGAACAGCACTTTCAGAATTGTAAAGATACCTAGCTATTAAGTCTGTTTATGGTTTACTCACAAATATTAACCCAGATCCAACAATCATCTAATTACTTCAAGCTGGCTAGACTTAATATATGACATTGTGTTTTTACTAGCCCAGTAGAAAGAAGAGATAATTAAATGTATATTTGTATTTTGAAAGTTACCTGCATCCTCTGGAAAACGTTTGCTTGGAGTCCCATACATGCCACCTGGGCCTGCTGGTGGTCTGGGACCTGTATAAGGGCCACCTGGAGTCTGAGGTTGAGGATAGCTTGGATATTGGGGACCTGGGTAACCTGGCTGCCCCTGATGATATGGGGGACCTTGAGGTGGATACTGGACTGAAGCATCGCCAACTTGGGGAGGCCTCATGCCAAGGGCTTGAGTTGGACCTGGAAAACGTGGGCCTGGGTACATAGGAGCATTTTCACCAGGTTGCGGAGGTGCCTGCTGAGATGGGGCCATACCAGACGTTGGTCCTGGAGGCCTCTGCATATTTGGGCTAGACTGGTCAAACCTGAAAGCGGTAAGGGCGCAGGTTTTATATTATCTACAATTTAACAATGCAGGAATACTTTTTTTTTTATTGTATGACAAATATAGCTTTAAACATAAGGAAAACAACTTCAAATAGCAATATATTTGAATGGATTGGTAAATGAGATTTAAAGCCAACAGCTTGTATTAATGAACCATTCTTCCTAAACATTAATGAAGAAGGAAGAATTCATATATGAAATTCCTACTAGCACTCTCCTGCTAATGAAGTAATTTAAAAATTAACCCTGAACTTTAAGCCAATGCAAATTTAATCTAATATAAATGCAAAGGTTGGTTCTCTTTCTATTAATGTTTATATTTTATTTCAAATTACCTGTCTGGGCGTTCAAATGATTGTCCGAATGGAAACTGACCACCACTTGAAGTGGGAGGCATGTTTGGCTGGTTAGAATTTGAAGGATACCCGACACCAATAGGCTGTTCAGCACCACCATAACCAGTGGAAGATGAGACTGGACGACCAGACGCACTGGTCATTGTCATACTTCCTATACTGCTCTGCTGCATGCCCGGATGTGAGGTGGACATGGGAGTTGATGTGGGTTGAGATTGTGGCGGTGGTGTCACTTGAGGAGGCATTCCACGCTGCAGGTAGATGGAATCATCGGCAAAGGGATCCTGCACACTTATGCTGTCAGAGGTAACAGGCATTGGACCTGATACACCACTGTGGGGTGCAAGGGGTGTCCCACCTGTATTGCTGGTTGGAGGCAATGGTCCACCAGGTTGTTGCTGCATCATTGGACCTCCATAACCAGGTGGGCCACCGGGCATCATCTGGGGACCACCCATCATATTGCCAACACTGGAGTTTGGTGGCATCATTCCTTGTTGCCCGTGCATCATATTTGATCCAGGACCTCCCATCATGCCAGAAGGACCCATTGGTGGACCACCCATCATATTACCCATCCCACCATGTGGACCAGGACCACCCATCATTGAGTTGGGGCCCATCATCATATTAGGTCCACTCATATGGGGATTGGGCATAGTACCATCTGGATTTTGCATGTAAGGAGGAGGCATATTAGGTGGGTATGAAGAATCCATTTGATTGTTGGGGACACTAGGTGGGCGGAATGCATCATTTGAGTTTGAGCCTGCTGACGACATAAGATGGGTTAAAATTATTAGTAAAGCAAATTACACACGAATTTGCATTACATTGCCAATCATGAAACTAGCACATTAAAATTTTATAGAAAAAACTGTATATTTTGATTTTCCCCAAAGGATCTAAAACATCTAAAATAAAATAACATTTCAGAACTTAAGGTGATAATGTAGATCCATTACTAAAATATAATATTTATTTCAAACAAACTTAATTAAAATGCAATTTTTTCACAAGTTTTAATTCATATTTACTTATGAAACAACAGAATATTTCCCCTTATATATTTTTTGTACCGTCACAGTTAAAAATATACAAAACCACAAACCTGGTGACGGGGCTCGTTTATTTTTCTGCTCTCTTTTATGAGCCAACTGAGCTTCCATCTGGGCCAAGATTGGTGCTGGATTAATGCCACCTCTATCATACTTGCATTCATAGTTGAACAAGTATCTAATGTAGTTCTTTTTTAAAGTAAAAGCAGCACTGGCAGATGTTCCAATATTTACTACTGTGCAGATATCTCTCCACTTTTTGCTTCTTGTTACCTGGAGCAAATAAGTAAGAAGACAGTTTTCACTAGAGTTCTCTCTTTAGAAAATTTTAATATTCCCTAAAATTTATTATATGAATTATATAACATATATTTACTTTTTGCTCGAATAATCTTTATAATTTTTTTGGACAGCTTCTTTAAAAAAGAACATGAACATTAAAAATAGTATATGGAAATTTTAATTTGTTTAAATTATCTATTCACATTGTCCATGAAGGACTTGGATAACAGAACAAAAAGTTAACTTGCATACCTCTTCAAAGCCACCTTTTTCTCTAACACATAGATATAGCTTGTAAAGATCCAGTGGTGTCTTGCTGATAACTGGCAGGGTTGTCACTGGTTGACCAGTTTCTTCTAAAAAGTTGAGCACCCGCTCCAGAAAAGGTCGACGGTCAGGCTCTGGTCCCATTTCATACAGTTTTGATAGGTCAGAGGAAGATTTCTGTTGTGGGTAAAAAGGTTAGGTCATTAATACAAAAACAACCATTTAGGAACATAATTTTTTACAATGGAATTGATTTTAAAAAATGGTTTCAAATTGTTTGCAATTCATTGTGGTAAATTTACTCTATAATATTTCATAAGTGATTTAATAATACTAATGTCTTTCTTTTGCACTTAATATTATAGGTTGTATTCAGTTAAATTTGCATACATATGTAAATGGTAGATTTTGAATTTATCTTGTGAGTAAAAATAGTTTCAAAAGTTCCCAAAAATTCTGTGAAGACAGCTCTCAAAAATTAAAACTGATCAGTAGTGAATAATGCCATTAAATTAAGACTATTTTCAGTAAAAGATTATTTCATGCACTTCATACATTAACAACATTCTTCAATCTATATTTCTTCAAAACTCTGACAATAGTTACAAAAATGCCTTAAACACAAATCAAGGGGGTAGAAAATGATTTTTATCATCATTTTTGTTTTCCTAAGTATACATGACAAATAAATGCTCCAGAGAAAAAAGATTTGTAGAAGATGGATACATAATGCTGGGGAACACTAAAGCAGGGTCAGCAGACTGGCTTCTAAGTAATTCTGCATCAATATTGAACCTAACACTACATTAAAAACCAGTAGTACAGTAATAAACAAGGAAGCCTGAAAAAGCATGTCAAATTAGAACTGTCATAGCACAACATATGAATATTGTTTAAATAAATCGGCATGCTTCTGATCATTAAATAAAATTTAGCAGAATTAAGTACCGGTACGTCAGAAATGGTGAAGCATCGTGTATCTTTTGCAAAATGGAGAAAGCATAGTTTCTTTTCTATATGTAGAAATTTAAAGACTTTCCCCCCTTACATTTTTAATTATATATTAGTTAACATTTTCTTTGATCCATGCATTTTTTTTTAGGGGATACTTAAAATATAGTCCTAATTACTCTATTGAGGCCTTTTTTAAAAAATAATGAAATTGAGTAAATAAAACTGTTTTTTTTTAAAAACCTCTATAAACAACTGAGTCAACTGAGATGGTTATTGAAGTTGGTGCTTGTGAGCAATGAGGCTTAATTTTTTTTTTTTTTTTTTTTTTTTTATTAGTCAACTGAGATGGTTATTGAAGTTGGTGCTTGTGAGCAATGAGGCTTAATTTTTTTTTTTTTTTTTTTTTTAATATTGATAAATACCTGATATCATTTAAATTATAAATTTTTTAATAAACAATGTAACATAAATTAATTACATTTTTATTAAGAAAATTATTTTCAATAAAAGCAAACAAAAACAAAAAACTTTTAAAAAAATAAATATAAATAAAAAAAACATTTAAAAAAAGTTCAGGCACTTAACAAGGAGCAAAAAATATTTTTTTATAAATTGCCATGCGATGATAGAACATTCATAAATTTTTTTACATTTTTAAAATGTAGAAATAAGAAAAGGGGCGAAGCAGAAAAATATATCTAAAAGAACATAACAGAACTTAAATCAATTGAGAATATCCAAGGACTAAAAAAATTACATTTCTTAAACACTTATATTCACTATCTTTAAAGAAGCAGCAAGGTAGGTAGTAAGAAAACACGCTACTAATTCATTATTTTCTCAATTGTGAAGGTGTTTGGTGATCTACTTGCTCTATAAAGTTGATATCTAAATGAAGAATCTTCACTTAATTTAATGCTTAAGATTTTCATATAAATTCTGCCAATGGGATTAAATATAAGTTTTACCACCACAGATTACATCAGAAGGTATAGATGGGAAAAGCATGAGAGTGAATAAAGGATTAGTTGCTGCTCGAGACAAAAAAATTTTTTAGGAAGGACTTATGCACGCAATCCAAAGGAAAGATTATTAATTTGTGAGCTGCACCAGCCATCTGCATATGAGAAATAAAAGTATCTACTCTTGTGGTGGCCTACAAGTTCTTCCAAGAAGGATACAACACAACCGAAACTGGCTATTTTTTGTATGAACTGTTAGAAAATAATGCCTGTTCACCACATACAAGTAATACATACTGTGCATGAAAACTTAACAACAAATTATAAGGAGATAGCAAGACATTTTCATTAATTGACACCTTCTCCATGAAACAAGATTCAAACACAAATGATAGAGGCACCAAATGATATGAAGTACTAAGAGTGATGCTGCATCAAATCTGTGATAGATCAACTTTTGATTGTATGTTTCTCAACGAATCCCTTTAATCAATTTCAAATTCTGCTCTCTGCAGCCCTTCAATGACATTTATATGAGCATAATTTGGTGCCTCTAGGAAGAAGCGTAAGTAGCAGAGTGGCCGAGGCATGGTAGTAACATAAAATGACACAACACTGCTATGTTTCAGCTGCTGCTGCTTCTGCGGGGAAATGGGAAAGGTAAATATGGCAGTGGAGGGTCAATTTTGATAATTACAAAAATTATAAATGTCGCTATCACCCACGACAAAGGGAAGAACAAAATTAACAAATACAAAAAAAAAAATAATAACAGTAAAGTGGTAACACGAGCGTTCCCAAAAATCAAAACTAGGTATTTTCATGTTTTGAGCAAGTTAATTTCCGTGCGGCCACTTACAAGGGCCCCAGGACTGTTGGGTTCCTCTGTGTAGTGTGGCCCGGCAGAGCCGGCGCGAGGCTGGCCCTCCAACTCCTACAAAGTCGGCCAAAAACAAGAAAAATAGAGGAGGAAAGAGAGTTAGGTTTGTGAAAAGGTGATGGGTGTGACAACATTAGGAACTTACAGTGATTAGATTTAGAGATACCCTTCATTCCACTGATTATTTTATTGTAAAAAATAAGTTACATTTACAAATGTTGACTGAGCAAAAATTGGTAAAAAGGATCTGGACTGGGATGTCAATCGTAAGAGGTTGGTGTCATCAAAAGCATGTAACCAATTTTAATGAATGATGGTTATGTTTAACAGTCCTTTAAACATCTATGGATGTGCATGTTTCCACTCTGCAACATGTAAAGCAGCTGAAAGCATTGGTTTATGATATACAGAAACATTTGTATTTTACTTGGTGATAGTGAGAAGAAGTAAGCTTTAAACAATTTAACATTTGATTATAGTTTATATCAGGGGTCTCCAAACTATGGCCCACGGGCCGCCTGGCCCGCTAGGCCAGTTCATCCGGTCCAAAGACAGTACTTGAATTTGCTTGATAAAATGTATAAATTTACCCACAGAGAAGGAAAACTTGTTGAATTTGACCGCTGCTAACCTGATGTTGAGTTTCTGAAACTGAAGAACTTTGCCGCTGGTATGGCATCAGTGTTTGGAACAACTTATGTCTGTGAGCAAACATTTTCAAAAATAAAGCATGTAAAGTCAACGCATCGAACGAGAGTGATTAATAAACATTTGAAAACAATTCTCTTGATTGGATGCAGCAATTCGAAACCAAACATTGATGAAATCTTGAAAGCCAAACGCCAGTTTCATACATCTCACTAACTTTTTGGCTGTTTAGTTTGTGATACTCGATTATGTGCACACTTCGTCTGATGTAGCTATCTCTTTGCTGACGTCACCTTCTTTGATAACTTTTTAAGATAATAAATATGTTGGTTGTCTTTTTTTTTTTTTTGTACATTGCACACCATTCACCCATGATTAACATGGAATACTTAACTTAGTTTTTTGCCTTTTTTCCCCAGAGCTTTCGTTCTGGCTTGGAAGTATTGTACAGAATGATTATCCGGCCCGGGCTCGTCATTTTTTCCATTATTCGGCCCGCCGTGAAAAATGTTTGGCGACCCCTGGTTAATATTACCGCAAAATGGCTGTTTAGTTTGTGATACTCGATTATGTGCACACTTCGTCTGATGTAGCTATCTCTTTGCTGACGTCACCTTCTTTGATAACTTTTTAAGATAATAAATATGTTGGTTGTCTTTTTTTTTTGTACATTGCACACCATTCACCCATGATTAACATGGAATACTTAACTTAGTTTTTTGCCTTTTTTCCCCAGAGCTTTCGTTCTGGCTTGGAAGCATTGTACAGAATGATTATCCGGCCCGGGCTCGTCATTTTTTCCATTATCCGGCCCGCCGTGAAAAATGTTTGGAGACCCCTGGTTAATATTACCGCAAAATATGTTCAGATCTGTTTTACGGATAGACCTTTTCTTATCCTAGCACTACCACATCCAGATGTACATGTACATGACAAAATTCATTCACACTTACTAAAATTGATAGTGTACCTCCACAAAAAAATTAATGAATAAAGTGATGATGCAACATGACAACATGGGCAATGATTTGATAGTGACAAGAAAAACATCCTATCATGATGGCTCTAGCTGTATTGGTCATGGCATGCTTAAAAGAAGAGTAATAAAAATAAAAAAAATAATAAGTTGTTTTTAAAAATAGAAAAATCTGTTTACTAGGGAGAGCAAACAATTTTTTTTATTTTAATAATGGTCGATTAGCTTCATGTTGTCCTGATTTGTTTGTGTTTTATAATTTTTACTTAGAAATAAAAATTTATGTCTTTTCTTTTTTCAACTAAATTTGCACCAAGTATGAAGAGATAGCAGAGCAAAGGTAACATATTAGTAAGAAAACGTGTTTACTGCTTGTATACTTAAATTTTCAATTATTAATCTAAAAGAATCTTTAAAAACACAATTGAAATTTGTGTAACAAGTTTCACCTCTTTGCTTCAAATGTGAACAAAGCACCAGACAACTCTGTGGGAGCACTACAGGGCTTGGGACTGTAAGTAGGAAAGGATTGTTAAAAAAATTACTGAACAATGGATTTACCTTTACTTTCTTCTTCTTCTCTGGAGGATCTTCAGAAGGTGTGTTTGTGCCTGCATTTATGTTGTTGTTGTTATTACTCATTGGCGGCATACAGTTCATCTGTGGGTGTGGAGGCATCTGACCCATGGGTGGCATGTTTCCACTGTTGTTCATCCCAGGATGTCCTGACATCATCGGACCATTATGGCTCATTATTGGTCCATTTGGCCCCATCATGGGGCCATTCTGATTCATATTCATATTTGGCCCACCCATGTTTGACGGCATCATATGATGAGGTCCCATGTTTGGTGGCATTTGATTAGGACCTCCCATGTGACCTGGATTCATCATATTGTTGGGTGCCATACCGTTTGGCATCATTCCATGTGGACCAGGAGCCATACCATGCCCCATCATGTGTGGAGGTCCTCCATGAGGGCCCATAAGATGGGCATGAGGATGGTGATGAGGAATAGACGTGGAAATACTTGTTACTGGTGATACTATACTTTGGGTGACTGATGTTAATATGGGGCCTGAAATGATGGAAAATAAATTAAAATTGAATCTATCTTGCCCTAAACAACTAAATGTATTTAAAATCAGATGTCCTAAAAATTAACAGGAAGTGTTTTAACATTTTAAAATGATAAAAAGGATTAACGAGGTGAATAAATCATTAGAAAGGCATCTTGTATAGATTTGCATCATTTACAAATTGAATGTATAGTCAGTGGCTTATGCAAAAGAAATAATACTTTATTACCATAGCAAAATAAACCAAGATCTTTTTATGGATAGTTTTAAGACAAAAGGTAATGTAACTGATACAAAATGCTACTAGACATAAACAAGTCGGTGTAGCTATGAGGAAAAATAGGAATTTTCTGAAATTAAAACAGTCAATCCTTTAGTGGCTAATCTTCACTTTATCGCTCAAATGCAATCCATCCTGACCCTGCCTCTTTTATTATTAAATGCAAGTATTTAATTTTTACCTACTAGTTAAATATTTTGAAAATCCTCATAACGAAAGGTCATAACGCTTTTGTGTTTATTAACTTTGAAAAAATTGATAACTGTTTTAACCAAAATAAATTGATTCCTACCTGTACTGGCTGTAGTGACAACATTGCTGCTGGATGAAGGCATTGATGACATGGCAGATGACATTGAGGGCGGAGGTAATGGAATTCCACTCTCACTGTAAGGCATCTTGGACTCTTGACCCATATGATGAGGTTGGTGTTGCATGTGTTGGTGATGAGAATGATGACTAGCAGGGTGCCCTGGAGGGCTAATATTTTCTATTGTCCTACACGAGTCCCCATTCTGGTGGGTACCAGATGGTGGAGGTGAAGTCCCGGATAATGTAGGAGTGCTTACAGAGTCAGATGTTTTATCACCCTGATCAGAGGAATGGAAACCACTGTCAACAGAGGTTGAATCACTAGGCATGCCACCTGAGCTTTCAGAGCCTGTGGTCGACTCATTATTGGGGAGGTCGGGGTGATGGGCCGTTGTGGAGTTTGGCCGTGAAGATGATTCATGAGTGTCTGTGTTGGACAATGGTGATGTTTGGTTATGATCACCACCATGAGCAATACTGGAGGATGTGTTGTTGGTCATAGCTGCTGGGCTGTGAGCCGACTTAGGCACTGGGGAAGAAATTGTTGTGGATGAACCTCCCATAGCAGACGGGGGCATCCCTCCCGAGCTGCTCCGTGCCAAGTGTTCGACAGCATTGGACATACTGTTTAAACTGGGATTGCCAAAGTTTGGTGAGTTGGTCATATTGTTCATTTGAGCCAAAGGGCCACCAGATTGTCCAAACATTCCTCTAGAGGGACTCATTGAACCTCGATTGTGAGACATTCGGGGCCCTACTGTGTTAGCAGCTGCCATCATAGCTGCCTGGGCTGCTTGGGCTGCTTTGTTCGATGAGTTACTGTGCTGTGACATCATGCTTCCTGGTTGACCACTTAAATTGGAAGTCATAGGGCCAGACGTTGATCCTGGTGGCATCGGTACTGGTCCAGTTTGAGGTGGTATCCCATGCTGACCAGGCATGGGACCCATGTAGCCTGGATACTGGTTATTCATCATAGCACCCATATTATTATTACCTTGAGAATATGGACCATATCCTTGCTGGCCCATATTTCTGTTCATACCTGGCATGTTACCATACATAGGTCCTCCTGGCATCTGACCAGGTCCATTAGGATACATATTTTGTTGAGGTCCTGGATAGTTCTGCATGGGTCCTGACATGGGTGGCCCACCCATACCTCCCATTCCAGGCTGTTGACGACTGTAGTTGCCTTAAATGAAAGAAATTTCAATTAATTAAGTTTTTGATAACAGTATATTGAAATGTGACTTTTAATTTTCATTGTTAATAATCAATAGCAATACAATTCTTTCAAAAAGTTTTGAATTAAAACAAATTAATCATAAGTATCTTAAAATACCTTGGGGATACTGTGAGTTATAAGGTTGAAAATGGCCGGGCATTTGACCGCTTCCCACTTTCCCAGTACTGGGCATATAGCCCATACTGTTGGGTGGGGGCATCATTTGTTGGTTATAGCCTGTTGAAAAAGAAAATCCAAAAGGTTAAGATATGGTCAAAAATATTTATTTAATGATAAAATTGCATAAGTATGTGGAAATTAATCTTACTATATTTTAGGCTGCCTAAAATGGTAAATAAATATCCTTTTAGATAATTGCATTTAGCTCCTATAGAGCAGCATTTTTTTAAATAAATAAACTCAGTTTTTACTTTTCAAAAACAATACTTACACTACACACTCTTAAACAAAAGTATTATCACCTAAAATTAAAAGATGTTCTAATCAAACCTTTAATATTACAAATAGATGAATCAAGTTCAAAGTAGCTACCCAAAAGCCATAAAATAAATGATCTTTTATTTTATTGGATCCTGTGTGCTATGTGAATGAAGTTTTAAGTAGCTACCCCAACGTCATACAATAAATGATGTTTTATTTTATTGGATCATGCACCCTATGTGACTCAAGTTTTAAGTAGGGACCCAACGTCATATAATAAATGTTTTATTTTATTGGATCCTGCTTGCTATGTGCCTGATCACCAAATAAAACTTAAATATGTATCAATTGTTGATTAAAATAAAGTTAAAACAGAAATGTGCTACCTGTGTCCATACCTTGTGTAGCCATAGGGGATTGGGTCATTCTATTCTGTCCATCTACCTGCCCCGAGGGAGGGCGGATAGGCATAGGGCTGCCAGCTTGGGCACCTTAAACAGAAAACGACTATTTTATTCTCTTATTCAAGCTATACTTCATCTCAGATTAAATCAAATTCAAATGAATCGGAAACTAACCAAGATTTGATCCCTATTTTTATTCCGAAAAGTGAGATTGCCATCGCTATAATAATATACTGAATGTATAAATAGGCAGAGCAGAAAAGTAAAGGCGCTGTTTTATCAATCGGATTCTCTCCCGCCACAGATTTTTGTCATCACAACCCAATGCAGCACAGAGGCCTGTCGCGACAAGTTTGTATTCTAACGCCGATATGATCTAAATGTGTTTAGTAACAAATGTAGGACTCTTCCGGGCATGAACAACATCAACCTAATACATGTATAAGAAAGATAACCAATGCTTTAAACGGAAATAAGTGCTCAGCGTTTGGTTTTTGTTTGTTTTTTTGAGGAGTGAAATAAAACATTGTCATGTAGCGTGCCATCTCTCTATACTTAGCCGAGGAATGACCTCGTCTCCCCCCTACCCCCCCCCCCAAAAAAAACCCAATAAGCCGGGGGGAGGGTAAAGTTGGGAGGGGGGGGGGGGCCCCCGTTCAAGCTGAAAAAACCAGCCTATCGCCGTCCAAGAAATAATTAATGACGGCCTCAGGGTATTCCATTTACTGGTGGTATGACCTCGTCCCCCCCCTCCCCCCCCCCCAAAAAAAACCCAATAAGCCGGGGGGAGGGTAAAGTTGGGAGGGGGGGGGGGCTCCCGTTCAAGCTGTAAAAACCAGCCTATCGCCGTCCAAGAAATAATTAATGACGGCCTCAGGGTATTCCATTTACTGGTGGTCAACTTTCTTCTCGCGGGAGTGGGGTTTCATTGTAAAAAAGGCAACCCCATCCCAGATTCTCTCATAACGCAAAGTTCGATAATGAATCATTCTGGTCTGATAGAATATTCAGTTTTAGTTATTGTTAAAAAAATTATTAAAAAATGAAAAATTGAACTGAAAGACATACATTCTGACCTAGTTCAAAGTTTTGACGTCTGAACGTAAACTTTTTTTTAATGTTAAATACGGATGGGGCGTGGTTGGTAGCTTTAGAGGAGTGGTGTAAAAAAGGGGGTTAATTACAATATTTTTAATTTTATCATTTGCAGGAAATCGAGTGTCTGAACTTGTTGGCCAAATATGTTGAAATTGTTTATTTTGCTGGAGATTATGCTTACATTTTATTTTGGGGGGGGGGGGGGG